TCTTCATGCTTCATCCATACTATAGCATGTAACAAGACTTCATTCCTCCTACTGGCTGAGTAGGATTCCATTCTATGTATGTACCACATTTTGTGTATTCTTTATCTGTTTATGGGCATTTAAGTTGTTTGCACCTTTTGGCTATTGTGAGTAGTACTGCAATGAATACTGGTTTACAAGTCTTTCTTTGAGTCTCTGCTTCGAAGTCTTTTGGGTATGTACCTAGGAGTGGAATTGCTGGATCATATGGTAGTTCTAAGAGCTCTGGTAGCATACTGCCTAAGGCACTTGACTGCTAACCAGAAGGCTGGCGGTTCAAACCCACCAGCCACTCCTCTGAAGCCACTCCCTAATGATACTGCCTCAGCAACCCAAGGAGGGGTTGCCATGAGTCGGGTCCGACTCGACGGCACATAACAACAACAACAGCAACATGGTAGTTCCATGTTTAGTTTTTCGAGGAACCACCATACTGTTTTACACATGGCTGTACTATTTTGTATTCCCACATGCAAGGGATAAGGGTTACAATTTCCCCATATCATTGCCAACATTTGCTATATTCGTTTTTCACTTGTTTTTGTTTTTTATTTTAGCCATTCTCAAACCAAAACTCACTGCCATTGAGTCAGTTCTGGCTCACAGCCACCTCCACTGGGTTTCCAAGGCTGTAAATCTTTACAGAAGTAGACTGCCTCATCTTTCTTACATGGAGGGGCTGGTGGTTTGAACCACCAATCTGTGGGTTAGCACCCCAATGCCTTAATGACTCCCCCACCAGAGCCCCTTTTAGCCATTGTCATGGAAGTGAAATGACAATTCATTGTGCCTTTGATTTGCATCTCTCTGATGACAAATAGTATTGAGCATCTTTTCACATATTTGGTGGCCAATCTGAATGTCCTCTTTGGTGAAGTGTCTATTCAGGTCCTTTGTCCATTTTATGACTGGGTTGTCTTTTTGTTGTTGACATGTCAAAGTTTTACATATATACATGCTGGTTATTATGTTCTTATCAGATATCTAGTTTCTGAATATTTTCTTCCAGTTGGTAGCTTAGCTTTTCACATTTTTGGTAGTCTTTAAATGAAGAAAAAATTTTCATTTCTATGAGGTCTCATTTACTTATTTGTCTTTTGCTGTTTGTGATCTTGTTACTACATTAGGTAATCCATTTTTAAAAGCTGGGCACATCAGCATTTCCCCTGCATGTTCTTCTAAGAATTCTATGGTTTTATATTGCACATTTAGGTCCTTAATCTATAAAATACTATGTTTTTTATTTCTTGTAAGTTTTTT